GGTTGGACTTGATGATCTGCTCAGGTCCCTTCCGACTCTACTAACTATGAAACTATGAAGAGCAGCCATGAGGAATTCCCCCAAAACAGTTATACCTAGAGTCCGTATTCCCACTTTCCTGATCTGACAGACCAACTCTGGTGCCTCGCAGGTATAAAACACTTACAAGTAAATAATTTCCAAGTGAAAAATCCTTTGCGAGGCCAGTGTTCTCCCAGCCCCCCACAGAGATCTGCTCAGCCCTGGAGCCCTGGGGCATTGGTGGGGGAGAGCTCTCCCTCTCTCTGACTTGGAGGGATAACTGCAGAGGCCATCCCATGCTGCCTGGAGCCAGAAAACAATTTTGCCCATTTGCTTCTCTCATCTGGGAGCTATTTCTACACTCTCACAGTAACATTTGGGGTGGGGGGGCAGGGGGACAGGATGACAAGGTATGTTTTGAATTAGGGGTGGAGCCAGAGGGAACACAGTCAGGCCCTGCATGTTCTCCTTTACAACAGCATCCCTGAAAGGTGTGGAGGAAAGGGGGAAGAGAGCAAGAGTTTCTTTGAATGTTCCCAGAGTTCTGGGAAGCCGCATGTCCTGGGGGTGGGGTACGAGGCTGGGAGCCAGGACACCTGGGTTCTTTTCCAAGACCTAGGAGCCCATATGATCAAAGCAGGGGACTAGGAACCAGGATCCTTGGATTCTTTCCCAAACCCTGGGCGTTTGTATGATGTAGTGGACAAAGCAGGGGACTGGGACCCAGGACACCTGGCTTCTCTTCCTAATTCTGACACTGGCTTGCAGTTTGGTCCTAACAGACAGCATCATGCTCCTGACACTTCAGTTTCTTCTGCTGTGAGCCAAGGATAGCGATGCTGCCTTACCCTTGGTAAAGCCCCAGGAATGGGTCACTGCTATAATGATGTCACTTAAGGACCAAATCCTGTTCTTTTGAAGTTAAGAGCCAAACCCCAATTGCCTCCAGTGGAGGAGGCCCAGATGCGACTCTCGATGCCATGTACTCATGTTATTCTGAACAAGCGTGGCCCATGCTCCTCAGCACAGGGACACAGGGATGCCTCACCTCTGCATTCAGCATCAGACACTGGCGTACACTCCTTGACCAGGACCTCATTCTCCTCACAGATGGTGCAGGGCAGGCAGGGGTCCACATGATTGGCTTCATCTGAAAAAGTCCCCTCGGGGCACTCCTCACAGATGGTGTCCTGTGTGTCCCCACAGGGGAACATCAAGCCAAAGCCCACCTCACAGATCTTGCACTCCTTGCACTTGCCACTCTCCTCATCCTGGTAGTAGCCATAGGCACAGCGGCACACAGCATCGTCCGACTCCACACAAGGAGCCGACATGCTCTGGAGGCCCACACACTGCGTGCATGGCTTACAGGCTTCTGTGGCACTGACGACATCCGAATACGTCACACCTAGAATGTAATGGAGAGAAGGCAGTGAGAACCCATCACAGATACCCCCTTTTCATCCAAGCCCTGCTGAGGCCAGAGACATCCCAGCTGGGGGCCATCAACTCAGCTCCCGTTTGCTGGCTCTGGAGATCACTAGCATGTTGGCAGTGATTGCATGTGTGCTCCCCAACAGGAGGCTCTGTTCCTGAATAGCTATGGCAGGCTCCCCCCAACATCCCCCAGGCCCAGGACACCAGTGCAAGCAGCCGACAGCTGCCCTGCAAACTGGCCAAAGGTCAGAGCGGGACAGCACTCTGTCGTGTCCCAATTCATTACTTTAAATGGCTGTTACCCAACCAGAGCAAAGGGTGATCTTGCAGCTGCAGCACAAGCTTATAAAAGCCCAGGAAATTAAGGGCTTTATTATTATGGAGTGTGCTTAGTGCTGGTGAAAGGTGCCAGACTGACAACACTACAGAACTATTCCCCTTTCCCCAGAGCATGGACCCCTCTGCCCCTCACGGGGAGCTCAGTCCCCATGCTTCCTTCTCCCCCAGGCCTCATCCTGCCAGCAGTAAGGCTGGGGGTAAGCAGTGAGCAGTCACATAAGTACTCGCTTTGGGCAGCAAGACCACAGCTTCTTTCCAGTCAATCCCTGCCGGCTGGACTTCTGATCTAGAGGGGGAAGTCTCTAAACCCATTTACGACCCACCCACTCAGACTCTCTCCTTTCCAAGAACCAAAGCGAGAGAGAGAAAGAAATGCTTAAACTGCAGTAGACTTGACCCTCCACACATTTCCTTCACTCTAGCAACATGGGAGCAAAAGCCGTCCTTCATCCTCTAATCAGAGCGCAGCAATTCGGCACGCAAACCCAGGGCAGGGCTCAGGCCACGGCATACTAATTGAGGCTCTCTGATTTCCTGCTGCTGTCGCAGCCTCGCCATTGACAAGCCAGTCTCAGGCGTAACTGTGGCGGACCCTTCGGGCCATGTGATCAGCCTGCTTCTGAGGCGGAGGTGGTTGCCCTACACAGTCACAATGCGGCACTGTCAGGATGGGCCTGAGGGAATGAAGGGATAGTAGTGCTAGGGTGGCAGGAGAGTCAGAGAAGTTCTTTCCTAAGAGCTAGATGATCCTACATTTCTGCATGGGAAGGTTCATGACCCTTTCTCTGTAGCATCTGGCACTAGCTCTTGTCAGAGACACAGGACAGGATGCACCCAGGGCCTCATTCTATCTTTCCACTTTGAGCCCTACTTCCTCCCTAGCTGCTAAGTCTTCCCCAGTGGCCCACCCTTCCCGGCTAAGGCCTCACACAAGTAATCTTCTCCTCTCCCAATGCTGGCATCTCCATGCATCACCCAAAATGGCCCCTTGCCTCCAAATGCCTTCTGTTCATGGTGGTCCTAAGCACCTGGTACTGTATCCACCATGCACTCTCATCGTCAGGCCAGGATTACCAGAGCCTGCCTGTGGGCCTGTGCCCTGCCAAAGTCAAGCATGAAGGCCAGTGCCTCATGAACAGCAGGGATTCTGCATGGTTACAACTGGACTACAATCGGACCTAGACAGGTTACAGGGGTGGGCAGATGAAAATAGGATGGGATTCAACACTGATAAGTGCAAGGTGATGCACCTGGGGAGGAAGAACCAGCACCGTACCTATAGGCTGGGGAACTCCCTTCTCGTCAGTGCAGAGGCAGAAAAGGATCTTGAAGTCATCACTGATGCCAAGATGAACATGGGCCGGCAGTGTGCAGATGCAGTCAGGAAAGCCAACCACACCCTGTCATGCATCCACAGATGCATCTCAAGCAGGT